ATGAGTGATTTGGCTCCCCCTCCCCCCCCCTCAAAAAGTCCTGGTAACACCCTTTAGATTATACATAGTATTTGGTTGGTAACCTGTCTTTGTTCACCAAAGTGTTTGACAATTCCGAGGAAACGCATGAGGAAATATGCTGAAGTGAATGTTTGAAATAAATTTGATATATTCCAAAGGGTACACATACAGCAACATTGGTATAGGTCATTCATCCAATCATATCTACTGTATCTTACAGTTTGCACTAAATTTCATATTCTTTCATACATGTAGATATATACTCCCCACCCCACCCCTTCCCCTGCATACACATACTGACACACCTTAGTTGGACAGACTGCACACATAAATGTGGTGAATAGTAATTATCATGGTGACAAATGCGTTATGGGCACAATTTCTCCCCCCCCCTTGACCTGGTCCTGAATTTCCTAAACAGAAGAAATTATCCCCTTGACATCTGCGCTAGTGTACAAACACTGTCAGTATTGGACGTCCTATTGTGTTGTCTATAATCAGACTTTCTCTCTGAAGGATTCCCTCAGACTTTGTACATGATTTCCAATTGGAGACCCTCACCTAGTTTCTGATGTACTTAACTGTATTGCACAGTGTCCTTACCCGCACAGATTCCTGTGTTAAAGTTACATGCTGGGCATGTACGCATACCTTTTAACGTAGTAAGGAAAAAAAGGCAGAGAAATCGCAGTTTCTAAATTTGAATAACAAATTCTTGAATATGCATGTACCTCCTCATGTTGCACCAGATGATATAACCCGAGAATTCCTCGTCAATATTCAACTCCTATCACTGATTTGTGTTTCTTCACAGCTCATCCATCTCATTATGTTTACATGTTACTGAAGATTGGAGTTTTCTTCACTATTTGTGTGACCGTGTCAATGTCTGAAGTGAGTAAAGTCTGGGGAAAGAAATACATTCATTGGTTTGCTTTGGTTGGGTGGGTTCTCGGTCTTATTGTAACTTCCACAGCATTTACTGGTCTTGTAAACAAACCTAAGTAAAACCTGAAAAACCTAACACCTCAGAAACCCAAGGCCGTGATTCTCCTGCTTAATTTCCAAATTCGGTCATCAACTCCAAGCCCTGAATAAAGTAAAAGTTGTCGACAATGCAGTTTTGCAACCTCTAAAATACCAACCAGTTGGACTTTAACATACATGTATATTGAGTTATTAGGGTAAAAGGTGAAATTTACTCAATCTTAACGGTTCATTTGTAGCTTTTGTTTCTTAGTACTGCTCTTGGAAATATCTCATTCTTTGTATTGTGTCATTTTTAAAATTTCAAAATATGTCTAATTTCTAAACTGTGTTTGTTGTGTTCAATTAACCAGTGTCTCAACTTTGCCTATTAATTTGTCTTTCAGATTTTCTTCAATTCTTTGTTCAATTGGTGGCCAATAAACACGTTGTTTTATTGGCCTGGCCAAAGTCTGCATGAGTGGTGGTTCCGTTGGCGGTTAGACAGATTTGTAAGTATCATCTTCATCCAGCATATTTCTCTCCCATGTCACTGTAGAAAGAACACAGCAGTGACTTTCATGAAAATTATATTTGACTGTAAGCTAGCAGCTCAAATAAATTAATTGGATTTAAGGTACCTCTGCGGTTGCTGCATTAGGCCATGGTCTAAACTTGGCCTGCTAAGCACACTTTTTTAGCTAACAGAGCTTGTCAGTTTCACACTTAAGGAGTAGCTACTCAAAAACAGCCAAGGGAGTTCTAACCATGTGGCTAGAATGTTTTAATGAAAGCCTCAGCTGGGGAAGTCTGTGTGTACATGGAAGCATCAGCCACGAAATATTACGGCAGTTAGCAGAATGTTTCTGCTGATTACTAACCAAATCCATGCAGTTGCCCCTAATTGAAGAGAAACAAACATCTTATATCAGTTCCACTAAGGGCTAACAAAACCCGGTCAAATCTGGACAAAATTTAAAGATAATATAATCTAGGCGATATAAATAGGCTTCTCCCTGCTGTCATTGGGTAG